CCAGCATCCCTAAGACCCGTAATTCTCAACCTTCCTAATCCTGTGAGCCTTTGATGCTATTATGAATTGTAATGTAAATAGCTGATATGCAGGATATCTCACAGGTTGAGAACTGCTGACCAAGCCTTGGCTGTCTCCAGGTTGACCAGTTGTGAGTTTCTTTGCCGACTGCCATCTCCATGGCACAGAGAAGCTACCATGAGGACTGAGAGCCGCACTGATCTGCACTTACAGAGATAATGCGTTCTGAAGGCAGTTTGATACCATGTCTGTTTAGCGAGAGGCTCGTAAGCTCACCTCTGTGCCCTGTGGGCTTCCGTCTTGCTGGTCACTTGTTCTTGAATTTGGTTTGCACAAATTTTATTGATAATTATTATGTCCTATGTTCATTAAGGACATTGGTCTACTTGCTGTTGCGTCCTTATCTAGTTTTGTATCAACATGATATTGGCTTCCTAGAGTGAGTCTGGTCACATTCCTTCCCCCATCTGTTGTGGAAAAGGTGAGCTTTGGTGTTGAGTCATCTCAGACAAATCAACCAGATATCCAGGACTTCTTTTAGCCCTTACTGCTGTAGTTTCATTGCCTGGTGTCTAAATGACTTTTATCCTCTTAATGGCTGGTCATACGAGGCTAGGAGTTTATCTATTAAAAATCTTCTACATTGCCTAGTTTTTTAGGTTATAACTTTCAAAGATATTTTCTAATGATCCCTGAATTTCATTGTAGTCTGTGGTAAATTCTCCCTGTTTGTCTTTGACCTTGCTGATTTGGATCTTTGTTGTTATATTAACATGGCCGAGTTCACTAATCCTATTTAAAAGGCTTTCCCCCTCCCCCCAAAGAACCCACTTGTAGTTTTGGGGGGTTTTTCTTTTGTTTTTTTGTCCCCCATCCTGTCTGTCGTCCTCCCAACCCCCTGTTTTGTGGGGCCTTCTACCTAGCTCCTAAATAAATACACACGGAGGCTTATTCTCTCTCGTAGATGTCTGGTCTTAGCTTGGCTTGTTTCTTGCCAGATTTTCTTAACTTAAATGATCCCATCTACCTTTTGCCTCTGGGCTTTTGCCTATCCCTATTTCTGTGTTATCTTCTCTTCTTATTCCATGTCTGACTGTGTAGCTGGGTGACTGGCCGCTTCTCTTCTGCCTCCTTGATCTTGGCTCCTCCTGGAAGTCCCAACTATCCTCTCTTCTGCCTTGCTCCTTATTGGACCGATAGGTGTTTTAGAGGAGCAAAGTAACAGCACTTCACAGAGTTAAACAAGCACAACACACCTTTGCATCACAGAACGAACATCCCACACCATAAACAACTAACACATCTTAAAATAACACTCTACAATATCCACTCTATTGAATCTATGTATCATTATTTTAGCTGGTACAAGACATAATTCAAATAATAATTTGTGTTTGTTGAGATTTGGCCTTGTGGCCAGCAATATCCTCTGTTTCAGAGAGGGCTCCGTGTGAGCTACTGAAGACGGTAAGTCTTCTGTATCTGTTGGGTGGGATGTTCCACAGACGTCTGTTAAACCATTTGGTCTCTGGTGCAGTTTTTAACTGCACCTTTGTTAGGCTAACTTGTTTAAGAGGTGGGGGGAGAGTATGAAAGTCATCCATTTTATCTTAGTATAGAGCCTCTCTGACCTGCTGTGCTTGTTCTGACCCGTTCATGCTTGTTTTGTGAAGTTCAGAGCCCGAATGTGAAGTTCATATGCATATTTACAACTGTTAGATCTTGATGAATTGTGTGGCCATTGCCAATGTGTAGTGGCTTCCTTTATTTTCTGATTGTGGTTTGAAGTGTGATGTCTGATAGCTGTTGCTTATCAGATAAAGTAATAGTTATACTAGGTCATTTTCAGCTTTTTTACCACTTAATACATAAGTCATTTGACTTTCAGATTGTGTTTTGTTTTTTTTTTGTTTGTTTGTTTTGTTGTTTCCAGTGATTTGTGTTTCTTTGAGACATTTGGGTTTTGTTTCTTAATTTGCCCAGCTGGTGTGTTGCCTTTTTAGTGGTGAATTAAGATTATGTTTCAGATTTTATTGGGAGAGGTTTTGCTGGTTTCCAGTTGTTTTTTCTCCTTGGTTGGATTATGATTTGCTCTGCTCCCCCACCTTGCCCCCCTCCAGTTAATATTTGGGGCTCTCCGGTTTTTACTGTGTTTGGTATAATGATTTCCATTTTGGCTGTCCTTTGTTCATCTATTGTTCTCATTAAATTTATTTTCTGTGTTCTCATGATTGGCAATGTCTTCTGTGTTTGATATACCTTGTAAGCATCTAACACAGGGTTAGCTTGGCAACGGACTGCCTTAAGTTGTACTTGCCTTGACGTGTTTCTGTTTCATAGTCAATTTTAAAAGGTAACTTAGGTGGTGGGTATGGTTCTCTCGGTTGGCAGTTACTCACTTACATGGCATAAGACGTCCCATGCTCACCTGGTCTTGAGGGTTGCTGATGAGAGGTCTCCATTGCTACTCTTGCCTTTATTGCTGAGTAACTTCTAATGTTGGTTGTTAACTTTGTTGTTGTTGTTTTTAAATCTTGAGTATGATATGTGTAGAAAGATTTATCTTTTGTCATGCCAGTTAAATTTAAATTTCTAAATGCTATGATAGGGCTTCTCTTCCCCTGGATTTGGGAAATTTGGTGTCATTAGTTTCATCAGCCATTTTCTATGCCTTTACTTCTCTGTGGATGGGTGCGTCTCTCCTTCTCCCCCCCTCCCTCCTGTGTGTGGGTGTGTGGTACGGAATTGAAATTAGGACCTTAACATGTATTCACCAAGCACCGTACACTGAGTCCCAGTCTTGCCAGTGGAGTGTTAAGTCTCATCTCTGGATTATATCTTTTTTTTTTTTTTTTGGTTTTTACGAGACAGGGTTTCTCTGTGTTGTTTCGGAGGCTATCGATCCAGCCCGGCCTCGAACTCACAGAGATCCCGCCTGCCTCTGCCTCCCGAGTGCTGGGATTAAAGGCGTGTGCCGCTACTGCCCGGCTTCTGGATTATATCTTAGAGTTTTTTTTTTTTAGTGTTGTGACCATGCTTGTTTATCTAATTTTCTTCATCGATATTTGAGTACAGTATTAATTAACCTCACCTTCCACCCCAAGTATTCTCTCTTCTGCTTGGTTGAACCAATGGTTTTGCTTTCTATGATGCGTCTTCCTTGATTCATTGAGTCTTTCATTTCCGTGATTTTTTTTCCCAAGATCTCAGTGTCTTTGACACGCTTCTTCATGAGGCTACCCGTCTTAACCCACGCCACTGGTTTTCTCACCGGTGGGATGCTGACTTCCCTCCTGTGTGGCTGGCTGGCCTTTCCAGAGCCTAGATTGGTCTCCTTATGTTTAGATCGTCTTCGGGGCTGGTGTTCATTTTGTTGTGAACTTTTGAGCTTGTCATTGGCACTTTGCTACCATCAGAGTTTTGAATTCACCCAGCTGAGGAAGTCACAGCTTTCTGGAGATGTCATGTTGCCTGCATGTGTTCGTGTTGCTTGTGTTCCTGTGTTGTGCCGTGTGGATTTCCTCATCTGATTTTTATCTAAGGATCTTCGTACTGAGCAAGCCCACTCGTGAGGTCTCCGCCCCGGCAGCGCTCAGGAGACAAAGGCTCCCGTGGCAGCAGTATTTAAATCAGACTTCCGTGTATAATTACTGAAGCCCGTTAATGTGTCACTGGTAACCATAGGATGGCATCTGTCAGAACCAACGGAGAGTGTGGTATTGGTGGAAGTAGTCAATGAAAGGGTTAAATACAGGGCCATGGGAATGGAAAATAGGGAATTAAGGCTCAAAGAAAGAATGAAGGGGGTGGCGAATATTATGAAGGAAAAGAGAAAATCGAGAGATTGGGGGGAAAATGAGAACCTAAAAATTCCTCATAATGAGAAACGTGTGGCCAAAAATTAGGGAAGGATGAGGAGAGCAATAAAAACATACATACCTTAAAAGAAATAAGAGAAACTGGGGCTGGGGAGAGATGGCTCATTTGGGAATAAAAATGAAAACATGAAAGTCTCGGGGATGGCGCTATTGGGAACAAGGACCTGGGCTTGGAATCCCCAGTGTTATTGGGAAAACTGGGCACTGTGGTATCTAGTACCTGCACCTAAGCTCATTGGCCAGTTAGGTCTGCTGGATCAGTGGATTTCAGGTTGAGTAAGAGACCTTGTCTTAAAAAAGTAAGGTAGACAGAGGTTGAGGGAAGCACCCAGTCTAGCTTCCACATGTATGTAGCTTCCACATGTATGTAGCTTCCACATGTATGTAGCTTCCACATGTATGTAGCTCCCACATGTATGTAGCTCCCACATGTATGTAGCTCCCACATGTATGCGTGCCCACAGGCACACATTCAGGTGCTACTGAAAGTACAATAGAAATACAAAGAGGAAATGTGAGGGGCCAAAGAAAGGAAATATCGCAAAAAAAATCTCCCAATAATGAAAGAAAAACGCCGTGGAAAATGAGATGAATATAGCTTTCCTAGGAAAAGGTGAGTCCCATACAGCAAATGCTTTCAACGGGGATAAGGAGCTCCGGAGCCAGGCGTTCATAGAGTTTACCCTCGCCTGCGCTCTCAGAGAACCAACTCCTGGCCCTACCTGACTCGTTATCGAAGATCCATGTTAAACTCTAGGGCCTGCCAAACCCATAGAATCGTGTGGTACGTTCGTCCTTCACCGAAAGGTCAACCAGCTTTGGAAATCGTTTCAGTACCATTTAGAGTTTGGTGATGGGGTTGTCTTCTGTGTATGTTTGTCTCATTGGTTGATGAATAAAGCACTGTTGGCCAATAGGGAAGCAAGGTAGGTGGGACTAGGAGATGAGGAGGATTCTGGGAAACATAGTCATGATGTAGGGAGCGAGAGGAATAACAGGTCCAGACTCGTTCTCTGGTAAGAGGAGATCATGTAGAAATACATAGATTAGTAGTTATGGGTTAATAATTAAGACAGAGCTAGCCAGTCAGAAGCCCTAGTCACCGGCCAACAGTATACATAATTTAATACAGTGTCGGAGTGTTCATTTGGGGCTCAGAGGTGGCTGTGGAACTGGGCGGGAAATCTCAGCATTTTGGCAGTAAGTGTGAGCCCTGGTCAAGTCTAGATTGTGTGACGCATTTGTTAAAATGTTCGTCTTTTCCTCCCAGTTCTAACGAAAGCCCCTTGATGGCACAGCCAGAGCAGGTTGGAGAACCTGTGGGCGCAGGCGGAGATTACGCAGACATGGGCACCTCTGCCTGGGCGTGGTCCTCACGGTTATCGCCAGTTGTTCACGCCCGCCTTCAAGTTTCTCTGCTCTCTGCACTGACTTTGACATCCATAGACGGTGTGCAACTCCGGTAACCATTTGTTGAAACAGACTTTGGTGAGAGGTCTAAAGGGGTAGAGGGGCTGAAATTGCAGGACTCCTCACTCAGGGCTGCTGTAGGGACCACACTCGGTGGCTGTTACGTGTGTAAGGACTCTCAGGCATTATACGCGGCCTGCCCCTATCACCTGGCAGAATGCAGCGCCCTGGTCAGCCCAGGTGCAAAGGACCCCGTTAGAAGACAGAACCCCCTCCCACTGACGCTCTCTTTTCAACTTTCTTCCTGCTCTCTCTTTCTGGATCTCTTTTCTGCTATTCCCCTGGGGCAGTCAAGACTTTCTCTGTCTCCCTCTTCTGCCCTCTGTGTCTCTTTATCTCTTTCCTTCCCCCTCCCTCTCCTTTCTAATAAAACTTCTCATTGAAGCTCTGTCTGCCTGGCATGTTTGTCCCTCTACCTCGGTCACCCTCGTCTGCCATGGTCCCCCACGCAAGGTCCCCTCAAGCTTTCTGGTAACAACGCGGACTTCTGTAAATATTGCCTGTGTTACTCTGGAGTGCGAGTTCTGGTAGCTGAGCCGCCAAAGGTGTCTGGAATGATGAGGGTGGTCAATGCTGCTCCAAGAGTTGTGTCGTGAGAAATTTGCTCCCGTTGGCTGGGTTTGACGGTTTGACAGTTGGCTTCTCTTTTCATGGCTTTAATTCACAAAATTTCTAGGGACCACAAAAAAATAAGATAATTATCCTTCTGACCCTGGCTTAGTTCTTTTAGTTTTGATTATGTCTAGTCGTATCTCTTTCCCTGACCCTTCTCTATAAGCACTGTGGGTACACACAGATATAGGTTTACTATTCCAGAGGACTTTGTGAAGATGAAGACAGTCAAACTCCTGCAAAACTTACCCTGATTTTTCTTGAAAACCACAAAGGACAAATGTGCAGACCAATAGTGATATCAGATGACTACTCTGTAGGTGCTGGTTTTTCTTTTAGTAGGTAGGAGGGAGAAAACGGGTTAGTCATCGTACATGTATCCCAGCAGACCCGTATTTGTTAGATTGAGCAGACATGGGTCCCTGCGGGTGACCGTTCCTCATGACCTGTAAGTTCTCCTGGCGTTAGTTCCATGGGCTGCTTGCTGTAGGTGACTCCCAGTATAGGGGAGGGGGAAAGCTGCTGTTTGGGCACGTGAATGTTCATCGCCGGACCCAACATAAGGCTAACCAAAAATGAAGAAGTAAGCCAAGAGCTTACTGCCTGGAAATCTTTTAACGCGAACCACTTCAGGTTGAGTTGCTGTGAGGGAGGAGATGGTCATTGACTTCTCAGATGCTCCGTAGCTTCTGTCTAAGGATGAAGGGAAGGTGTATATAAACCTAGAACTAGAATAAAGGGACTCGGCTGAAGTAGTTTGCCCGGGGTCCCTAGGGTCTTGAGAGCCGTTTTGGTGAAGGATGCAATGTGCTAGTTCCCCACCCCCGGAGTGACCCAGCAGCCTCGGTTTCAATCCTTCTCTTCTGCATCTGATACAGATCCCCAAAGAAGTAGCCGACATCTTCAATGCTCCCAGTGATGACGAAGAGTTTGTGGGTTTCCGGGATGATGTTCCCATGGAAACCCTGTCAGAGAGCTGCGAGAGTCTGGACTCACTGGAGTTGGAGAAACAGGTAGGAGTTTTTCTTCTCTAGATTTAGGCACGGCCCTCCTCTAGGAACCTGCAGCCAGGCACGGGGTAACTCTCTCATCTCAATGCAGTCGTAAGTTGGTGATTTGGTGCGTCGTTGGGTACTGTGTTTCAGAGTTTTATCCCCGCGTCTCCAGAAGCAGGTGCGAGGACGACTCAGTGTGCGCTTGTTGCTTTAATCCCTGGCCATGGACAGCTTTGTCAGTGAAGGGATGCCGCATGATTAAATCCACCTTGTTTCTTCCCCCCCAAGCAGCTCATGGCAGCGAGTGACCTCGAGACAGGTGCCGCGTAGTGGTCCTGCACAAGATTTCTGTCGCCCCACTTTTGGGGATCCTGGGAGAGTATTGTTCAATCACTTCTGAGGAAGTGACAGGAGTCACCGTTCTGAGAGATAGCTTCCCGGGGCTCTATTTTGAACCCTAGCACGACAATGACCAGTCAGATTATTCCCGTTATTCATGTCCCCATGGCATTTGATACTCCTGAGTTCATTCGACACTCAAGAATCTTCCTGGTCCCCTCCACCGTGACCTCCACTAACAAGCTGTAGGTTTAACCCGCCTGGGAAGGAGCCAGATAATCCTGCCAGAGGGAGGGAGGGAGGGAGGGAGGGAGGGAGGGAGGGAGGGAGAGAGAGAGAGAGAGAGAGAGAGAGAGAGAGAGAGAGAGAGAGAGAGAGAGAGAGAGAGAGAGAGAGAGAGAGAGAGAGAGAGAGAGAGAGAGAGAGAGAGAGCTGTGCTCCCCAGGCTCTTGGGAGTCTCTCGGCCTCCTCTGTTGGACCTGCTTTGTTTTGTTTTCTCTTCGTTTTATGACCCTAAGTGAGAAGTTGATAGTTTTCCCCAGAGTCCGATGCTCTTTGTGATCTCATCAAATCAAATCCATTGCAACTGGTACCGTGTGCTTTTATTATTATTAGAGTCTTTACTCTTTACATGTATTATATTAATCCTCTCCCTAGAGATCCACACCACAACAGCAGATTGAGTTGCTACAGATCACTTTATGCTTTTGGTCAGTACCAACATCGGCCTTTGAGGTCGTTTCTCCTACCCCCATCCCTTTTTCTGAGCCAGCTTCATTATATAGTCCCGACTGCCTGGGAACTCGTGTGTGTAGACTGGGCTGTGTATAGAGAAGCCTTTTCCTTGCCAACAGCTTTGGTTTTTCTCCCTGCCAGTCACCTGGGCTCTGCCGCGTTATAGTCCCCAAATAACACACAAGACATTGTATTAATTATGAAGCTGTTGGCCTTGCTTGTTTCTTACTGGCTAGCTTTGACTTAAGTATTTATCCCATAATTGCTAATCTAAGCTAGTTCTTCTTGGATCTCTGTCTGAAGGACAGTTGCTTCCCACTCCGGTGAAAGCCATCAGTTGCTGATGTTTTCTCTGAAATAGCTTGGTTTGGGTCTTGAACTTGTTTATCTGGGTGGTCTTGTTGTGTGTAGCCTGGCTTCTCCCTCCTGTCCCAGGGGAAGCTGAAAACTTACCCACAGTCCCTCTCCAGCTTATTTCTGAGGTCCCCGTTTCTCCAGCTGTTATATTGCTATTATCTTGTCTCCTCGTTTCCTGTCCCCACTACCAGGGTTGGCGAAACGTCTGTGTGCTCACACTCCTCCCTTTATTTCTCCGCTCTCCGCAGCTGCCCCCAACGCTCAGCCCTTAAGAGTTCTCCTCTCTTCTTGCTGAGAGTAGCAGAAGGACTGAGCCTTAGGTTAGGCTCTGTGGTTAGTCAGAAATCCCCCAGTCTCCCTGTGCATGGTTAGAGATGGAGAGTGGTACCTACCTAAGCCATCATGTCAAGCCCAAGACGTGTGGGCATCAAAGACACCTGCATCTGCTATGCATTTGTTGCTACGACAACTACGTCCACAGTCCTGTTTTCCTTTGCCGGGCCCCAGGGCTGTGAGTGTGGCACTCAACATTTTATACAGATACGGAATTTACTTTATGCCCCAGGGGCTGGCAGAGTAACGGATGAAAACTGAGGCTCGTGGGCACGAAGGACTTAGCCAAGGTCCCACAATGAAAACAGTGCTGAGTGAAACTCCGGGCCACCCCCTTCCAGTCTCTTCCTCCCCGGCACTTTCTCTCACCTGTTGGGCACGGCACCGAATGCCACAGAAGAGTGGCTCACTCTGCTGTCAGCTGGGCTCCTCCCTGCTGGAGGGGATTCCTTTGCCCTCTCTGATAAGGAATGCACATTTCTGCCTTCTGAGTCCTCGTGAGCCCGTCTGACTCCTCAGACTGCAAGCTCCTCGAAGGAGGAGGTCATGTTTGCACGGTGCCCCTCCTTAGCTTCCCCGGGCACTGACCTTTTGTTAGGCTGCCCCTTTGACTGGGGTCCACAGATGCACCACTCTGCATCAGCGCGCGCGCTCAGGAGGCGCCCGTGGGTGTTGGTCGGTGCAGCTGGAATACGTCCATCTCACTGGTACGGAGGTCATTGCTGTCCCGTCCTTTTTTGTGTCGCGTGAGCTTCGGGATAACGCAATTGCCTCGGCCATTCTCTCCGTGTTGTAGTGTCAATCATAGTAGACACTGCTTCCTTGGTCTTGCCTTAGCAGCGGAATGAGCAAGCTTACAGAACGCGAAGGGCCGTGTGAGCCTTTACCCAAGCACGCAGCGAGGTTGCGCAGTGGAGATTAGCTCTGTACAGCCGGGTGAGAGTAAGCTTGTCGCAATGCCGTTTTTAATCCCATCGGGACCGCTCACCTCTGGGAATAGGAATTGCCAGGCAGGTTGGCGCTTGGGGCTCTGGGCTTGGCCTCGTACTTTTTCTTTCAGGCTCTGTGTAGGTTCTTTGGACATTGATTGAATGTGTGCGTTGAGGCCTTTGCCCTGGAAAAGCCCCCCAGAGGTTGGTCAGATGTCTCCTGCACCCCCCCCCCCCCGGGGGCTTGTTGGGTTTCCTTAGCGGGTGGTTGTGTTGCACTTGTTTCTTTATCTTTCGGTGTATTTTATTTTTTTGTATTTCATGTGTAAGAGTGTTTGTTTGCATGTGTAGGTGTGCACCACTTGCCAGAGCTGGGTGAGCCCTTAAAACTGGAGTTAGGGGAGGTTCCAAGCAGCCGTGTGGGCACTAAGAAACGAACCTGTATCTTCTGCAAAAAAAAAGTTAAGCGCTGTTATATCTCCAGCCCCACACTTATTCTTTTGTTAATTTTCAACTCTGGTCTGATGCTCACCTGACCCACACTCTTGTGATCCAGTTTGTCCAGCTGCGAGAAAAGGGCATCAGCTTGTGCACAGTGTGTGTAGCTGACTCTGGGCTCCCTCTCTTAAACACAATTCCAAGTTTCTCTTGAAAGAAACTCCTTTTTTTTCTTTTTTTTCTTTTTTTTTTTTTTGCAGCTGTACCACAGCTAACAACAAAGGAAGTAATTTAGCTCTGAGCAAACCCATTCCAATTACCTATAATTCATAGGGGACATTCTTAAGCTTACTGCTAGCTGTAGGCATTTCTTTCTCCACTGCCCTGCAAGTTTTCTCACTATTATATATTTCTATTATATCTGGTTTTTTTTTCCTCCCCAAAGGTATCTGAGTCTGAAGAGGTATATAATTAAAGCCAGAGAAAGGCAGCAATGAAATGGTGTCAACCTGAATGAGGCTTTATGAGGGGTCACTTGCTTGATTGGGTGTGGGAACTGGGACCAAGAGTCCTGGTGCAAGATTGTAACCTTGCAGGAAGCCGCATGGAGGGTGTCTCCCTTCGGGTCTGCCATTCTTCTTCTCTTTCTTTGAGACACTCTTAGGAGGGTGAGCGAGGCTTCCTTCCTCCTCTGTAGTATTTCCAGAGGCAGTAGAAGTCATCGTTAGGAAATGTCTTTGCTCACCCCTCAGTTTTGCGAGAGGGGTGCCCAGGGCGAGAGGGGGTACAGATTTCTGTGAGCTCCCCATGCTCGTGCCGTAGGAAAAGGAGCAAGTCCGTTCTCTAGCGATGGGTGAGGGGCGGTGTATCCTATGGAGAAACCCGCCACTGTATTTGAAGGGGATATACGTTTACCCACAGGAGAGTGCTCTATGGAGTAAAGCTAGCAAGCAGGGTCCTCTTTTCATAGTTTGTGTGAAAGCCAACAGCCTGGTTTTTTGGTGCCTGGGGCAAGAGAAAATAAACTCTAGCCACATGCCCCAGTCATGGCAGGAGTGACCCAAGGCAACGTATTGATTGCAGTTTTCTTGTTTGTGAGTCTTCGTTTCTGTCAGGTTTTAGGAAAATGTGTGCTGTGTGTGTGTTTATTGTGGTTATAGTCAGTACACATCATGTAGAGCGTAACCACTGTAACCATTTTAGGTAGCATTAGCCAGGATAGTGTGTTGCCGTGCAGCTGTCCCCACTGCTAATCTCTAGAACATTCTCATCCAATAGAAAGTGTTGCCCATTAGACAGTAAGTCCCTCCCTGTAACCACTGTTTGTAACATGTAGCCTTCCCGCCAGCTGCATGCCTGGGTCCCGTTGGCTGCTTCAGCACCTCCAAAAAACACACAAGACACTATATTAATTATGAAGCTGTTGGCCGTTTGCTTTCTTATTGACTTAATTATTAACCCATAGTTACTAATATGTATTTTTATAAGGTCTTACCTTACGAAGGACGCGGCCTCATGCGTCCTCTCCCCGAGATCACATGGCGACGGCTCTCTACTACATTTCCCAGAATCCTCTCTTTTGACTCCTAGTCCCGCCCATCTTGCTTCCCTATTGGCCAACAGTGCTTTATTCATCAACATATACACAGAAGGACTTTTTTCCCCCTTTCTCGTCATGAATGTGTTGTGGCAGTGGTAGTTGACTTTTGAGACAGGGTCTCACTGTGTAGGTGGGAATCCTGCCTCGGCCTTTACCCCAGTACCCAGGGAGATCTTCACCACAAGGTACAGGGACCCTGTGGGTCTGTACCACCGTGTCTGGCTTTCATGTGTGTTTTTAATTTAGCAGGGCATGTGTTTCCATTCCAAATACCTCACTGAAGAGCTAAGGAGGATTTTCATAGAGGACACAGATTCAGAAGCTGAGGATTTCGAAGGATTTACGGAGAGTGAGGTGAACGCAAGCAGTGACCCAGAGGTAACCATGGTGATGGCCAACACAGGGGCGTGGGCTGCAGTGTTTCTAGTCTTGCATTGAATTGTCCTTTTACCCTGACGTGTTACCTTACAAGTAAAAAGATGGCATTGTCTGTCTGTCTGTCTTTCTATCTACCTACCTATCTGTCACCTATCTATCTACCATTTATTTACTTATTGGTAGAAGACAAATAATATAAAACTCACCGTTCTAGAGCTGGTCTTGCCTGGCCCACAGCTACCTATGCTCCTCTACTAGCGGAAGCCATCCCTCTACCCCTTGGGGACCAGGGGTATGTCCTAGGTGGCCTTCATCATCTCACCCATTTTACCTCAGTTTCTCTTATCTATTTAAGTCTGTCTTGGGGGTTAACATGCTCCTTCAAACTCTCTTCTAGGGTGTGAGGTCATATTCTTAGTCTTGAAGTTAATTTGGTAAAACAAAACAAAACCAAACCAAACCAGGGTTGTGGAGCAAAGCGGAGAGGCCTCTGCCTCCTGGCTTGGATTCTGCTGGCTATAAGGATGGCACAGGCCTATCAGGGTCCTGGGGAATCTGCCCTCGGTCCTGCACTACGAACCAGCCGATTGCCCTGTGCTTTGATGTATTCATCAGCAGACTTCACGTGTGTTTGACTAGAGTCCAGAGGGTATAGTGGGAACACTTTCTTCATTGAGTGTGGGGTGTGTGTGTGTGTGTGTGTGTATTTTTAGTGCTGGGGATTGAACCCAGGGCCCATACGTGTGTTGATCGTTTCTGTACCACAGTGGTTTGGTTTTTAGTTTTGTTAGGTGGCTATAGACTGTCTTCCCCCTTCTCTCTGTCCCTTAGCTCGTGGAGTCAGAGCTGAGCGGCAGTGGCAAAGCGTCTGTGGCGAGTGAGGAGGAAGAGGAGGAAGATGAAGATGAAGAGGAGGCCACACCCAGAAGGAGCAGGTCCACAAGAAGCAGTTTTGGTCTCCGAGTAGCCTTTCAGTTCCCCACCAAAAAACTGGCAAAAACACCGGGTAAAAATAGCTCACACTCACTGGACAGCAAGACTGCTCTTGGAAGAGAGAAAAGCAGCAGACAGGCCAAGGAACGGGAAGACACTGCCTCTGAGTCCGAGGATGACTCCAAGGCCGAGAGCCAGGAGAATTCAGACGCTCTGCTGAAAAGGGCCAGGAATATCAAGGAGAACAAGGCCATGGTAAGCTCTCTCAGGGCACCGGAACCGTGGCTGGCTGCCCCCGGCAGATGCTGCTACAGCTTTGCTCTCTGGAGGGAAGGTGTACTCCGGGGTGCGTTTGTTTACATGATTAGCTCTGGTTTGGGAATGGGAAGATTCAAGGAGCGGGATTGGGGCTGAGGGGGCTTGAGTGAGTTCTAAGTTGTCTGCAGAGAGGGGCTGACCAAGCTGCACTACTCCAAGAAGACAGAGGTAAACAGGAACTGGGCTGTCACCAAGCCCAGGGAGAGTGGCAGTGGGCAGCAGGCAGGTGGCTTTTGTCTGGAGGCCACTCCTTCAGAGACATCATCTGAAGGAAGGAGAAAGGCCCACATGTAGGGGAGATATCCTACTAGGTACCTGTGGCACTGACCGTGCCCATTTGGGCGTGGCCACGGGTGCATACTGGGCGGGGCGTGTGGGATTTAGGCCTGAAGAGGGGACAGGCTGGCTCTCTCTGGGGTTCCAGTAGGATCTGGGAGGGCAGCTGAGATGGGATGCTCGGAGCGCTGACCCTGGGTTATCGGTTTTTTGTTTAAGTGATTTCTCCCCAATAAAATTAGCCTACATCATCCCTATTCCATGTGTGGTAATTTTATCCCAACACCTATAGTTACCAGCCCCCAAGGCCTTCTGATTCAGTGATGCCTTGGTTAGCTCAACCTACATGTTTTGTGTTTTTTATATGTGGCCAATAAGTCATCCTAATCCTGGAATGTCATTCTTTTCCTCCTAATTTTACACTGACAGAATTTTTAGAAGATTCTGCTAATTGCCGGTTGTAATTTTTTTATTCCACTTTGACTTTTTGTCTTTGTTTTTGTTTGAGACAGAGTTTCTCTCTGTGTAGCTCTGGCTACAGGATTTAGACCAGGCTGGCCTCAAACTCGCAGAGATCCGCCTGCCTCTGCCTCCCAAGTGTTGGGATTAAAGGCGTGCGCCACCACTGCCCAGCTTTTTTTAATGACTTTCTAAAAGTCATCCTTTAAGAAAAACCTAATGTAATATTAAACATCTAGGCCTGTGCCTAATAAGAGAACAAAGTCCGCTATGGGTAAATTTTTTTTGTTTGTTTTTTTGTTTTGGTTTTTCGAGACAGGGTTTCTCTGTATTGTTTTGGAGGCTGTCCTGGAACTCACTCTGGATGAGGCTGGCCTTGAACTCGCAGAGATCCGCCTGCCTCTGCCTCCCGAGTGCTAGGATTAAAGGTGTGTGCCACCAACGCTAGTGAATTTTGTTAAGAAACAAATTTGCTTGGCTAAATGAAATTGTAGCACTCCACCCATCTGCGTCATTTCACTAAGAACTACGTTTCATGTGGTTGTTCTCAGTGGTGTCATGTTTATGTGAATCTAAAACTGAAAAATCGCAATTAAAGTGCTGGGGGAGGTGCACATTAGTGTCTGTTGCTTGGCCTTAGCTGTCTGTCTGTCTGGGGGTGGTATCGAATTTATGTAAGGAGGTAGGAATTTCTGAGATACGTATTCAGGGAGCCTAGACTGGTCGCAAACTCCCCAGTGCCCGAGCATCTGCACCCTGGGTGCAGGGATTACAGAGTGTGCCGCCACTCAAGGCCCGGCAAGTATTTTGGTTGATTCGGGAGCTCTGAGACTTATCTAGCAGGGAACCCTTCTTTGGGGGTGCTGACGTTTGAGTTTCGGCCGTGTAAAATGTGGCCCAGGGTCTGCCAAGAGAGTGGCAGCCCCAAGACCTTATGCTCCCGACTGTCTTCACTGTGTCCTGTTTTGTCCCCATACGTAAGGAATGAGTGTGGCATTGACCCAGGTGACCAATGGCATCAGGGGGGGGGGCATAGTAGGTAGCTGAGAGATGTTGCCTCCGGATGTCTCCTCGACTGACATCAGATCCCCCTTTCTTCCGAACCTTAGCTCGCTCAGCTGTTGGCGGAGTTGAACTCGGTGCCGGATTTCTTCCCCGTGCGAACACCAACCTCAGCTTCTGTAAGTGAAACTCCTCTTTCTCAGACGGGTCATGGCTCTGTAGGAACTGGTAGCCTCTCCTGTTCAGGGGGACCTGGGTGTATCTGTCTGTGCCCTTGGTTTCAGAAGAGGAGAACGTCACGACGGGCCTTCTCGGAGGGACAGATCATACGGCGCGTGAACCCAACCAGGAGTGCCCGGCCCCCGGAGAAGTTCGCCCTGGAAAACTTTACTTTCTCGGCCGCCAAGCTCACCGAAGAGCTCTACAGTTTCCGAAGAAGGAAGACAATTAGTGGGGTATTTACTGACTAATAAGCCAATGTCCCCGTAAATGCGAGTCTCTTCCTTATGCTGTGCTGGTTGCTGTGTAGTCTTGGGTCAGCAGGCCTCCGGCAGCTGAGAACGTGAGTTTCCACCGTAGTCATGTGGGAGCCTGCATTGAGAAGACCCCGGGGGCGCTGAGCTGCAGGTCACCCTGAGAGTCCTTTGTGTAAAATGAGCTGAGGAGCTGGGATGGATGGCTCAGGGGGGGTGGAGCACTTGCCTGGCTGGCCTGGATCGCCAGGTTTGGTTTTGCGCTGTGGAAGGTGCCAGAGTTCCTCCTCCTCTCAGGACTGGCCCTTTTGAGCTCTGTTGAGGAAGAAGGGAAATTTAGGAGCCACCCCAGATGTGGGCTTGGCTGTTCACATGTGGTTCTCGAGGTCACTTCCCTGTCTCCTCAAAGTTTACAGCCCCTGGGTATGCTGCGGTGCCCTCTAGGGGTTGGGGGCTGGGGCCGGAGTCCACCGAAGGACCATACAGACGAAGGAGATACGGCCAACCTTCCATCTCTAAGCATGCTTAAGACTTTTGTTCTGATTTTCAGTGTCTTGATGCAAGTGCCAGGCTCCCCTGTTTTTTGTTTTCCTTTTCTTTGCAGGGGAGATGCCAGAGGTATAGACGGCGTCACCGAGTCTCTTGTCGTTCGGTGGAAGACATCACTGAAGAAGACTTGGAAAATGTTGCCGTCACCGTTCGTGATAAAGTCTATGACAGAGTGCTGGTAAGTGGCACCTTCAGGAAGGCGTGCGTGGCTGACCGCCACCGAAGGCCCCACACACTGCTGTTTGGAGTCTGATACCGTTTTATAAACGGCATCTCGGGCCTTCTGCTCCTGCGCCGTCTTCCTTAAGCCTAGCTTAGTGTTCCTGCTCATGGGAGACGGCTCCCCGGGGTATGTGTCCTGGACGGTAGGTACTGGGCTAGGAAAGCATACGTATGTGTTTCATATGTTAAATACCGTCTGGGGTGGGGTGGGGGAGAACGAGACACACATACACACAGTATATAAAGTCGAGTTTCTGGTTGGTATGAACTGGGTTACTTTTTCCAGATGATAACCTGCATCAGTCTTGTTTGCCCAACACTGTTTATAAAATAGTAGAACGTCAATTGAAATGCCAACCTTTCAAAACAAGGATTTAACACTGATGGTCTCTAGGTCTCCAGCACGAGATTACAGCCAGACTCCTGCTACCTGGGGCTCAATGCTGCTTAAGTTACCTGTCCCCTCCTGGGGTTTTTGCTGTCTCTTCCTGTTTTTTGTTTTTGTTTTTTTTTTTTCTGGTCTCTCTTCTGTTCCTGATGGCTCCGTCCCCTCTGCGTTCCCTGCCTCGCCTCATCTGTCCCCAGAACTGAAGTGCTTGAAGTTGGAGGTCACCATCGTTTGTCCCTAGTGACGATCCTGCTAGATTCCGGGCACGAGGCCATGTCCCTGCACGCCGTAATACGTATAAAAACGTCTGGATGAGTTGTCACCACCAACCCCACGTCCAACCCTTTTGCTTTTCCGTAGGGTAACACCTGCCACCAGTGCCGGCAGAAGACCATTGACACCAAGACGGTGTGCCGGAACCAGGACTGTGGCGGTGTGCGGGGACAGTTCTGCGGGCCGTGCCTGCGGAATCGCTACGGGGAGGATGTGCGGGCAGCCTTGCTGGATCCGGTAGGAGCAGTGTGTGCATTTGTTATAAACGCTGCAAATCCAGGGGGCCCCTGTAATACTCCTCTATGTCTCCTCCCGTCCTACGGCTTAAGTCTGGGGGGAAAATGAAGCGCTGTGGTTCCTTCTGGGAAGAGAACCAGGTGGCTGACAGGTTTGGGTGGAGAGGTCCCACAGGGATTTCCAATAGCCAAACCAGGGTTGATTTCGGTGGGTCCTTTCCCTCTAGCGCAGTGATTTTTACTTTATCTGCCTTGGCCTGTCCAGGGGGTGAGGCACAGTTAAGTGTGCTGCCTGCTGTCCAGAGCCATGCAGAGTGTCTCATACCTGCTGACATCATTTGTCACTAATCCATTTTGTAACAACAAAAATGTGTGTGCAACTTGGCTGCAGAGGCAGTTGTCATTATCAAGAACATCTTCTACAGAGTCTCTCGCTAGCTTAGAAGGTCAGTAGTCAGGCTGGCCAGCCACAGATGGCTCTCATCTCTGCCTGCCCAGTGCACACTGCCGTTACCCAGACGTTTGCATGCGAGATCTGGAGATTGCACTAAGGCCCTTCCCATCAACTGAGCTCTTTTCCTCAGGCCCCAATTTACCTTTTGGGGTGGGTGTTTATCCTGGCTATGCTTCAGATCCCTAGGGGAAATGAAATGTCAGTTTCGAGGCTATCGAGGCTTGTAAGTACCGCCTCGAACCTGCACTTAATGCCGCTTTGGGGGTCTCTCTGTGTTCAGCCTCCCCACTTTGACCTCTTCTCCTGCAGTCGTGGGTGTATACGCCGTTTCCCGCTTCCAGACGTACTGTTCTAAGCGGCTTGACATCAAGGTCACACACACACACACACACATATATATGTGGAGAGCTAGAATTCTCACCTGGATCTTGTGCCAAACATGTACTCCCAGAAATCACAGCCAGTGTGTGGCCTGTGATTCACATACAGCTGCGGCGCCCACGCCACAAGCAAGTCCGAGGTATCGGGAAAAGAAAGACCAGATGTCCAGCTGTTTGTACTAAGAAGATGCATTTGCTGCCTTTATTGCCAGTAGAGTGTGTGTGTGTTTATTTTGCAAGTGCTAAGAGTTCTCTCTCTTGTAGGAGGGAGCAGTCATATATACAGGCTTACAGCACAGTGGAAAAACCCCACCCAGGTGGAAGAGAACGTGTTTTCCTCATGCTAGATGTTGATGTCGGTGGGGCAATGTGGGGGCAGTAAGCCAGGACTAGAAAACAGGATGCACCTGTGGATATCAGCTGACAAATAACTCAGAGGCCCTGTGGGGGCTAGGCCCCAGCATACAACCCCAGACATAAAAGCCAAGCTCAATTTTTTTTTAATAGCTCTCCCTCAGTGATATCTGGCCGTGTCTAGAACAGATGTCTCCTTGTTTAGCCGACATGGGAAGGTCATTCTTGCCGCGGGGGTCCCTGTGTGTAGCCCCTCTTACACTCTGACTGAGGAGGGATACCATGTGTTAGTGGCTGGAGGGGAGAGGCTTGACCCAAGTCTCCAGCGTAGGACGTGGACAAAAGGAACAATCTCTCTGTTTCCTAGGAGTGGACATGTCCTCCCTGCCGTGGGATCTGCAATTGCAGTTACTGCCGGAAGCGAGACGGACGCTGTGCCACTGGGATTCTCATTCACCTGGCCAAGTTTTACGGTTATGACAACGTCAAGGAGTACCTGGAGAGGTAAGTCTCCAGCAGTGCAATTGTGTGCGGGAGACCCCGTAGGCCCTGGCTTTCTCCTCGGCTAATCTGTCGAAACCACCTCGAGGTCCGTCCATCCATCCATACTGGAGAGGCTCGGGCCTAAAGAAATCCCTCCTCTGATAGAGAAGTGTACCCAGCTCCACAGTGCGGTCGGGCCATTAATCTCCAATTGTGGAGCCAAGCAAATCACACAAGAACGACCAGTAAAAATAACACCGGTCTCCACAGCCTGAAGGGCCAGGGAGTTGGACTGCAGGTGTGAAACTGCACTCATGCTTTCTTTAAAGCTATATCTGTGCTGTCAAGTAGTTAGCGTGCACGTGACCTGAGACACGCTTCTTTGCATTCTGCACTCGGGCCGGGGGGAGCCCAGTGTCTCGGTATACACACCCCCGGGTGTCCCGGCACCACCGTGACCTAGAAATGCCGCTTCACCGCGCTTTGCTTCTGGTCAGCTGCTCACGAACACACCTCTCCGTCTTTCGCTCAGCTTACAGAAGCAGCTGTAGACGACCATTGAGAGGAGGAGGAGGAACGCTCGGAGTGTGCCAGAGTCCCACGAGAGACGTCTGCTGTTTGTGCCTAGCCTCAGAGCTGAACCTCGCAGAAGCTTGTTTCTTGGAATTTACCGTTCCTAAGACTGCTTTCTTTTTTTTAAATAGTTTATATGCTTAAAAAGATTTCTCAGGAAAAATAGTAAAGCAGAGAAATCTGTATTTCAAATACCTGCTGAAGATTTAAAAAGCACAAATTAGATGGGGGCAGAGTTTTAGAGCTCAGGTACAGGTGCAAGGAAGACGCCTGACCTTGGACGTACGGGCTCTCTCCCAGTCACCGCTCTTTTACAGAGGCTGCGGAGTGACCATAGCGGACACCTAGTAGTTTATCCTAGACATACTGCTCTAGATACTGAATTCTGGGTCTTTAGAAACTTATATCGGAAGAATGTTCCTCTCAACTATCAAGTGCAATTAACCACACACTGTGAGTACGGTGTCCTTTTTATTAAAAAACAACACAAATGGACCAAGTTATTATAGACGCTGGAGGCCGCGGTACGCTTGCCTCTCTTCCTTCAGGACCTGCCTGGAGCCTGCTGCTTCTACCATTTTTTTTTTTTTTAGAGATTTCACTTTTTATAGGACCCCCTTACTGCATTGTTTTTGAGACTTTAGGGAAACGTAAGGGATAAACCACCGTGGTGTTTTGGGTAGGTGTGGTGGAGGGAGCTAAAATCAACGAATATATATATATATATATATATATATATATATATATATATATATATATATATATCCCAGGTAGATGTTTCAGTGTTGTTTTTTGTTTAAATACTACTATCCTCCCTTCTGAAAGAATTAACGTTCTAACGAGAACGTGCGGCCCCGTCACTAAAGCATGCTCACACTGCCCTGGCTGGGGCAGGAGGAAATCTAAGTTTTGCAGTACCAAGGCCATTTATGCCTCCAGCAGCAGAGCCACCCCTGCCAACACCCACTTAGCTGTCTTTTCTTTGCTCTTCAGCCTGAAAGTCCACACGTAGGTGAGGCCTCTCGCTTTGGTTTTGTAAACGGGGCACTCATAGGTGTGCTTGGTCTCCTGTCTGTCCACGGTTACGGCTTTGGCAAAGATGACGGGCATCGTGGATGTTAGCTCCTTAAGGCGGGAGTCAGCAAGGACTCCGGAGTGGATGTCCCACCTGGCACCTGTGGTGGAGAGACAACAGCTGTGTTGTACCAATGCTCTTAATTGTCTGATGCAATAAATGTTCTGCTTTTTTTTTTCACGTTGGCACCTACCTATCTTTAGCCTCCATATATATATATATATATACATATATATATATATATGGCTGAGATGTTTAATGGTTTTAGTCGTTTTACACAAATCCAAGCCCTTTAATAGCACTCTAGAAACTACAAGCAGCACAACTTTTGTAGCATTCTTTCCCACTGCGTTTAACTAGCTTGGAAGTCCAGGTCACTCACTACCTGGCCTTGAACTGTCTGAACTGTGGCTCGTGCTTCACTGTGATGAGGTGTCCCGCAGCATAAATGTACAAATGGAGACACACAGGGTCAAGGCCATCTTCGGGGCTTGGAGGCATCTGGCTGTAGAGTAGTAGGAGCACATCTGCTGAGAGCATTTAGAAAGTAGAGGGCGGGCCACCAAGATGGCTCAGCGGGTAAAAAGGTAAGGTGATGGCAGCCTGATCACCCGAAGACAGAACCAGATGTGGGAATGCACATCTGTAACACAAGCATCCCTCCATCAAATATGAGAGGTGGATACAGGAAAATCAATCTTGCAGGCTCACTGACCTGGAGTATGGAGGAAACAGCACAAGAGACCCTGCCTCAAAACAAGTTAGAGAGACCTAACTTCTGAAAAGTTTTTTTTTTTTTTTGGACTCTACATACACAATAAAGGCTTAGAAGCAAAGGGTGGGGGGGTGGGAGTTTGAATTGATAGTAGCGAAAAGCAGAATACTAGGAATTACACGCAGGACTTAACACCATCTGACGATACATATATGTGTGTGCAGTTTCAATAACAGTCACCACCCTGAGTGCCACAAGGTTAAACGCATACCCGGATATTTAAGTCGTGTGCCGGGGAGAGCAAGAGCTAATTATCACCTGAGACAGTTCCGCATGCGTCCCTAAGCGGACTCACCTTCCAGGCGGAGCCCGTGGAGGTATGCACCTTCCCTCGGGGGGTGGCCGTAATCTTCCTTTGTCTTTTTGGTCACATCAATAGTCAGGCACATTCTGTCCAGTGGCCACTCGTTTTTTCGAGCCATGGTCTGCATGATTGCTTTGGGAGGAAAAGTGGGGAGAAGAATTGAAGGGGAAAAAAACCTGTTTGTAGTCTCCTACAAGCCATTGCAGATAAGAATGTGTGACTGGGCAAACAAGCTTGCAGGACCCGTTTGCCTCTGTGGTCACAAACTATACCAGAGCGGCAATTCGCTCCTGTGTGTATGACAAGGGACAGCCTGTGGGAAAGTTACAGCCTGGCTCTTGACAAACCACCGGGGCTGTGCCTGGAGGGGGCTCTCTCCTTTCCTAACTAGAACGTCCTCTGCTTGCTACCCGGGCTCTGCGATGGTTGTTTGAAGACTGTGTTGCAGAAGCCAGGCAGGATGGCTTACCTTGCCCCCCTAGCCATACCTGTTAAGAAGGACTGGGGGTTGAAGAAGCCGGACAGCCACACAACAGCAGGGAGGGAGAGGTCTTGCGTCCAGGTGTCAAGTTCTCGGCATCGCGAGAGGAGGTCGTTAAACCTGGTTAACGGAAGGTAGGGAAGAATGAACTTGCTTATTAATAAAGTCAGGTATCTTCCAGGAGGATGAGGGGCTGTGGAGCACGGAACACTCCCAGGGGAAGAAAAAGCCGCCTTCTCAGATGATAGACAGGGTGGTGCCCCTGCGCAGATCCGGCTTCTTCCTGTTGAGAGTTTGTATCTGCACCATTAGGAATAGGAAATGCTAGGCAGCATGGGCAGTGCAGTCTCTTACCCAGCTATTAGATCCTTCTAGAGGTACACAGTGATGGCCCAAAAAATCCATTTGAACGGGGTTGGCAAATACCACCGTTGTGTAGGATGCTGTAGAAATGCAGCTGTGTGTGTGTGTCTGTCTGTCCCCATAACTGTTACAATTCCAGAGTTGCCAGAGAAGGTATAGTCAAAGGGGGAAGAGTAGGAGAGTGTTCCACACAGAATAATTATTTGAAAGGGGAAGGTACGTGCCTTTAAGTAACAGGAACAGACACACACACACAGAGAGCGAGCCTGGTGGAAAAAAAACTCTGGCAGTAGTGTTATGGTGAAAAGAAATGTTAAAATGGCACGGCAGGAGGACCCTGAATAGATGGCTGAGCAACTGAAAGCATTCGCATACTCTTTCAGGGGACCTGACTTCAACTTCTAGCATATACGAGACAGTTCATAGCCTTGTCTGTATCTCCTGTTCCAGTTCCAAGGGATCTGATGCCCTCCTAGCTTGTGTGTGTGTGCGTGGGGTGTGTGTGCATCAAAAGATGGGAAGAAAAGCAGTTTGTTGATGAGCAACCAGCAGAATAAATAAATCATCTACAAGGAGGCTCATGCTCCGGGGTACGTTAAGAGGGGAGAGTGTTGATTTTTAGGTTGTGTCTAGGAAATTGAGTGTGTTACACTGCAAAGAATCCTCTCTAAGCAGAAACGGTATGGAGGTAAGTGCACAATGAGACAAGGTTAGAAACAACCCAGGTGGGTAAGAATACAGAAGTTACCAAGCGCAGAGTAAGACGATGAAAAGAAACTAATATGCATAAAATGTAACTAAGTGCAAATCCTCCACTTTTACTTATCATTACTTATTAATAATGTTAAAACTATTGAGGTGTACACACTCTCTCCTGGTTGTGTTTATCCTCCGGGAGCCACTTAACTGTCCTTATGCTCAGGTCTGTGCTGTCAACTTGATAACAAACCTAGAGTCATCGGGGGAGAGGGAAACGCAAATGAAGACTTTGCCAAGATCAGGTTGACCAGTTGGCTGAGTTGAGGGGACTAAATAAGGTTCATAAGCAGTGTTCTTCTTGGTCTCTGCTTCAGTTCCTACCTCTAGGTTTCTGCCTGGACAGTGGTAAGTAGGTAGACTGTTAATCTGGAAAGCAAGCCAGAGCAGTACCCATCCCCCACAGCCAACATGTGGGTGCCTTGGAGGCTGTTAGTTGTCAACAGGATCTGGGATCACCCAGGACAGGAGCCCACAGACAACACCTGTGAGTTTAGCTTCTGCGAATGCCTGTTGAGGGATTACCTTTATTGGGTTAATTGACATGGGCAAAACATACTATAAATATGGGTGGCATTGTTCCCCGAGTTGGGATCCTAGACTGTAAAAACGTTGAATGTGTGCGAGCTGAGCTCCTTGCTCTACCCCTTGTCTGTTGCTATATATCAAGCCCCTGTCACTGAGGGTCCCTTCAAATGAATGACTGTGTCCTGAAACCGTGAGCTAACCTGAGCTAAACCAAACCAGCTTTTCCTGCCCCTTCTTAGGCTGCTTTGGTCAAAGTGTTTTATCACAACAGGAAAAGCAGCCAAGTAAGGCAGGGTCCTAACATGCTTTCATTTGGAATCCTAATGGCATCTTCCAGATTGTCATGTTTCTTCCTGAATCAGAATTAAAGAGCTTCACTTTGAAAAAGGAACAGATTAGAGTCCTGTGCTGCTCTCTGAATGGTGTCCCAAGGCCACAGAGCATTTGGGATGAAACATACGAGCCTTCAGGAATCCTAGGTTCTACCTCTGGCTTTGACACCTGCTGTGATCCTCCACCCCACCCTTTGTGGAATCAGTCTGCTTTTATACACTATACTACATACTTTCTAAAGTCCTATGATTGCATTTGTAATTATTGGTTTAGAAATAAAGGGAATAGAATGCCAACAGGCAAACTCGAGTAGCTTCTAGGACTTTCGAATAAAGGAGGAAATTCTGTTTACATTTTTTCCCCTCAGGTGGAAATATGAAGACTGGGAGATTAGGTGTTTTTGTCAAAGGTCAGTTATCTAGTAAGTGAGAGAATTTGAATCCTGGTCTGACCTAACTGAACCGACCTGCTTTTGAAGCAGAATGCTGGAGGACCTCATGTGACATTAGTCGTAGAGTGTGCCTGGTGATTTATGGTCGGGGAGCAAAAGTTCTTGCAGGAGTAAGTGGGGAATGCCCATGTGCAGATGTTTACAGCCACCAGTGGAAGTAGAGACGGTCACTTACCACTGGGCCAGACCGTAAGTAGACGGATAAGCCAGTTTATTCCATGTGTCTGGAACCCGGTCGTAACTCAAGGCAGACAGCTGGGCCTCCACATCTGGAGATAACGTCAACTCTCCCTGGCACAGAGAAGAAAGGCTGCCGTGAGTACCCTCCGGTGTGGCAAGACCCCGTCTTGTCCCTCTTGTACGTTTACCTTCAGACCCAGGTCTAATTGTTGAAGCGAGACACGGATTTCCCGGATGAGAACATTCATCCTCTCACACTCTTGGAAGCAAACAAGAACATACGGGCTTCGGTTGGGGTTCTTTTGCATTATCTCCGCCATGTTGAACTCTTCCGGAAGTCTCTCCAAAATGTCATCCAAGATATTCTTAACCTACATCGTTGAAACACAGACTTTCATTTTTGCTCATGGTGCTGGTGGTTTGGCTGAAAATGAGCCCCACGGGTGCATAGGGCTTGGCATTTATGGGGAGTTCCCTTGTTGGAGGAAGTGTGTCACTGGGGTTGGGCTTTGAGGCTTCCAAGTGCTCAAGCCAGGACTGGTGTTAACTCCCTCTTCTTGCTGCCTGCCTGTCCAGATGTAAAACCATTTCTGCTTTCATGCTGCCATGCTTCCTGCTGTGATAACGGGCTAACCCTGTAAACTGTAAGCCAGCCCCATGTGAATGCTTCATCAGAGTTGCTGTGGTCATGGTGTGCCTTCACATCGAGACAAACCCTAACTAAGACAGTGGCTGCCACACTTTATGAAGTCTCGGGATAGACTGTGCAACTTCCAAAGGTGACTACAACCTCTGGCCTGTTGCTAGTAGCTGCTCCCTGCTGTTCCCGATTCTGGTGTCAGAGATTTAACCACCAGCCAGGAGGAAAAAGAGAGGTCTGTTGGAGATTTGTGTGTGTATGGATGGCTGAAGTTTTTCTGGAGGGAAGCGTTTTTCTTGGGAAGTTCTCCTAAGCTGATTATAAAGTTTTCTTAACGCAACCGATTGGTCTCTGTATCATCTATCCCGA